CTCTTTTATTTTTGTGCGCCATTGCTTTCGAAGAGTGATCTACATATCACTTCTTTAGCGTGCATTAGCACAAACATTGTTATTGACCGGCCTCAGATAGTCGTGATTTCTACATAAACCCGATTACGATTGCTTAACATAGCGCTAAATTGTCCCGTAATCGGAAAATGATCATTCATGGCTCAAACCTATGTTTGAAAGTCCAAGTATGGTTGATTATTTGTCTTAAGTCCATCACCTATGAAACTTGCTGTTAGGAGGCTTTGATTTCATCAATCCTCTAATGAGTTTTCATCAACTTTGGCTTAAGTGCATGAGTTAACCATTGTTGATCATTTGCTCTAACGACTAATTACTAACTCACTAATGATATTATTGTACTAATTTTTTTTATGTTTCCTTCTTACTCCCTATCTCTCTTTTATCTTTATGCTTCATTATTATCATCTCATATGATATTATTGTTTATGTTTATGTTATTTTTCCTTTGTCTGTTGGACACATGTTTATGTTTTCGCCATTTTTCTTTTGTCCATTTGGATCATATCTTTGTTCAAAATACTAATAAAAGATTAAACCTCTAAAAAACTTGGTGTTCTTAATTTTGTAGCTATGCTCTTGGACTATTCTTAGACCTTAGACTTCTTGGACCCTTGGACTTAGAATCAGGACTCTTTCCCTATGCTTGGAGTATTATGGATCTTTGTCTTTATTTGGCTTGCTTATTGGCTTATGCTTCAAGATGGATGAAGTTCTTATTTGTCTTGCTATGGAGTGTGCTAAAGGTTGGTTAGATCCTTCTTATCTCTAGCTTTTATTTTGCTTTCTAGGATAGTCACTTCATCTTCTCCCCTTTTTAAATTTTCAAAATCTCCTCCCTTTTTCAAAAACTTTCTTGTTTCAAACTTAAAACCGCTTTCGCAATAAAACCTTGACTTTTGTCAAGTGATTTTTGAAATTTGTTTTTCTTAATTAATGTCAATCAATATTAATCATATTTTGACCAATTTCAAAAAGATATAAAAAACACCTTACCTCATTCAAACTTTTTGTGCCTTCGTGCACTTTCCATTTTAAAACTTTTTATAAAGTTTAGACATGAGTCATTTCCATAGTTGAGATATAATTCTCCTATTCTCTATAGTATTAATATTTTTACATTTTCCACTTAGATGTTGAGTGATAGACTTGTTGATAATCCAAGCAAATCCTCCATCTTTAGGTGATGCAAATGGTGTCTTATACTTGTGGGCGCTAGTCGTAGTTTTCTCCTTACAGTGACGACTTGTCTTTAAATTTAAAATCAATCAAAACCAACATTTTTTTTGTTATTTGTACCATGAACTACGAGGTTTTGATCCTATATTGCACTTTGTGGGTACGTAGGCATGAGGCGATAAGTCTCTCTAAACACAAAAAAATATAAAAAATAATTCTCTTCTCATCTCCCCAATCTTTTTTTCAGACAACCTTTTTTCAAACCAAAAAACGTAAATATTTCAAAGGGCTCCTATAGAGTACTATAGACGTTTTGGGTGCTAACACCTTCCCATTACGTAACCAACCCCGTTACCCAGATCTATGTTTATTTGTTCTTGTATTAGAACTCTTTGGTTTTGTTCGCTCTTTTTCCTTTCCTTTTTTTATATAAAATAAAAGTGCGGTGGAGACTCTTGCATTTTTATGAGTTAAGTTAATCAATAACTTACACTCACCAATTTTCCCGCTACACTCTCCACCACCATCAGTTCTCAAAATATTGAGCTTTCGACCACTTTACCTTTCAACCATAGATTTAAACTTGGAAAATACCTCGACCACTTCACTTTTCTTCTTGATCAAGTAAGTCCATAATTTTCGGCTAAAATCATCTATGAATGTGACAAAGTATCTATTGCCTCTAATTGAATCCACCTAGATAGGTCCACACACATCAGAGTATATGACTTCATGAACTTCGTTCGACCTGCTTCTTGCATCCTTGCTGAAGTTTTTCTTGTGATGCTTTTCCTGCACACATTCTCCACACACTTTGTTTGGAATGTCGATTTCTGGTAACCCTGAAACCATATTTCTTCTCTTTAGATCTCTGATGTCTTTGAAGTTGAGATGGCTAAGTATATAGTGCCATATCCATTCATCCCTATTAGCTGCAATTGCAAGGCACTTTTGCTCCATCACATTAAGTTTAATCGTGAAGGTTCTATTTTGAGATATGAGAGCCTTCAAAACATTCCTCATGAGTCGAGAACCTTCATCATTGTGTCTTCAATCATCACTTTGTAGTTCTTTTCGACCAACTTTCCTGTGCTGAGAAAATTACTCTTCATGCATGGTATGTACAATACATTGGAAATTACTGGTCTCTTTCCATCTTTCCTCATAATTAGAACATCACCAATACCCTCACCTGCTAGAGTATTGTCATTTGGGAATTTCACCATGTTCTTCATTGAGGGTTTTATGTTGATAGACTAATCTTTCCTACCAGTCATGCATGATGAGCATCCCGAGTCCAAGTACCACTGGTCTTGGAATATTTCTTCATTTACTTGTTGTGACCATCAACAACATCTCTTCTTCTTCATGTTTTGCAAACTTTGCATCATTATCTTGGTTCTTTTGTTTTTCAGGACAATCATTAGAGTAGTGGCCATACTTGTGACATTTGAAACACTGAATGTGACTTTTGTCAGATTTTCGACCATCACCTCTTCCTCTGCTAGTGGCACCACCTCTTTGGTTGCTTTGGTATGAGGGCTTTCTTTGATTCGACCAGCCTTCTTTTTGCTGATTTCGACAAGCTAAATTATTTTATCCTCCTCTACCATTCCAATTTCCTTTGCCCTTCTTTTCTTTTGTTGATTGCGCCTCAGAGCCACATCACTCTTCGACTTGCCTACAACTCTTTCAGTCATTATTTTTTCATGAGATTCAAGCGTCCCTTGAAGTTTTTCCTTTGTCAAAATTGACAAATCTTTCGACTCTTCTATGGCTACTACCACGTGGTCGAACTTTGGAGCCAATGACCTCAAGATCTTTGCAACAACTGATCTTGATGTAAACATTTCTCCACATACCTTTATTTGATTCATCGATTTTGTAACCCTAGTGAAAAAATGAGTTATGCTTTTATTGTATTCCATCTGAAGTAATTCATAAGTTCTTTTGTGAGTTTGTAACCTCGCCTCTTTCACCTTCTCAGCGCCTCCAAACAATTTCTCCAAGATCTCTCATGTTTCTTTCGCTAATTCTACATCACTGACCTTTTTGAAATTGTCTGGATCAAGACATTGATGAATTATAAAAAGAGCTTTAAAATATTTCTTCTTTAATTTTTTGTATGCAACTTTTCTTGATCCGACGCGTTTTCTGCAAGTGGTGTTACTCCATCCTTCACAAGATCCCAAAGATCTTAATAACAGAAAACCACCTTCATCTGTTTGCACCAATTCTCGTAATTCTTGCCCTTCAAAATTGGGAGACTCGTCGAAAAATATCTGTTTGGACGATTCTTTGCCATCGTATTTTTTTCCCGCGAATCACTTAGTCAGTGCTCTAGATACCAGATGTTGAAATTAAACCCAAGACTTTGAGTAATTCCGAATCAATCTTGACGAACAAAATTCAATCAAACTGGTCAAATTCACTCTTGTTCTTCACTCTTCACTTGAGTGAATTAACTAACCTCAGTTACAATGTTGTATCGCTACACAATGGTGATAAAAACAAGAAAGAAAATTGAATTGGAGAAGAAGAAGTTTAAGGTTTTCACAAAATATGGAAGAAGAGAAATTTCTGCAGAGTAACTCTCTACTCTCAAAATAAAAATTTTATTCAAGTGAATCTCTCTTTACAATAATATGGTTACTCCCCATTTATAGATTTAGCTTGCTTACTCACTAAGTAAATCCAAAAAAAAAAACTCAAAAAACATAATTCTGCCAACACTACAAAATTAAGTTTAATACAAAATACATGTCAAGGCAAACTCCTCGACAACTAGGTGTTTTGACACACAGACTAGACTATTCGTCAATTTTCTTGTCTCCGTCGAACAATCTGCTTCGACAAAAGGAATTACAACTCAACAATGTTGTGTCGTGTTTTTCACGCCATAACAATTTCTTAAAAAATCTTCATCTTTACTTCACGTGATAACTTGAGTTTTAAGTTTTTTAATATTTAAAATATATAGCGACGTGATAAACACGTTGCAACAAACTTTTTTTGTCATGTGTTTATCATGCCACAAAATTTTATCCGTAAAGAATGTTTTTCTTGTAGTATATATATATATATATATATATATATATATATATATATATATATATATATATATATATATATATATATATATATATATATATATATATATATATATATATATATATATATATATATATATATATATTATAATAGTAATAATAATAATAAAATTCTTGACAAATCCTACAAAATGACATAGACAATGCCAAAAAAAAACAAATCACAAAACAATGAGTTCAAATTCAACTTTTTTATTTTTTAAATTTAGTTGAGTTAAAATTTAATTTATTCGATTAAGTTCAACAAGTTAATTTTTGAATTAGATCTCAAACTATTTTCGAATGGTTAGTTTTATTGTAAAAGTAATTTAGTCCAAAACTAGAAGAAAAAAAAATCACATCCGATGCTAAGTACTTACCACCTTGATGAGTCCATTGCCTAGTCTTTCTTTGTTTCCTAAATATGTGGAATTCAAGATCTCCCGCATATGTTTAGGAATCACATTTCTTGGTCTTAAACAACATTCTTCAACATCTCCCCTTTATTTGCCTAATTCATCACTTCATTCAAAGAAACTTTCCATCAAAAACTATCAATACATATCTTAAAAAATGGATTCTATTAATTTTATACTAAACAAATTTAAATCTCACAAACACTTCACTAGTAAAAATACTAATTAAACTCTACCTCTACCTCTTTTTCTCCTCTAACCAACCACCCCACACACAATGAACTCTATCACATTACCCCTAATTTTCTTCATATTATTTTCATTAATCCCACATTTTCATCTCACATTATCATCACCACTATCATCATTATTACCCTTTAGCAATCAAGGAAAATGGCAACTATTACAACCAACCATTGGAATCTCAGCCATGCACATGCAACTTATACACAATGACAAAATCATCATTTTTGATAGAACAGATTTTGGCCCTTCAAATCTACCTCTCTCCAACAGCAATTGTCGTTTGGATCCATATGATACTGCTCTTCAAATCGATTGCACGGCTCACTCCGTTCTTTATGACATTTCATCAAACACCTTCCGACCATTAACTATACAAACGGATACATGGTGCTCCTCAGGTTCTGTTCTTCCAAACGGTACATTAGTCCAAACCGGTGGTTTCAACGACGGCGAGCGTCAAATTCGAATGTTTACGCCATGTTTCGATAATAGTTGCGATTGGATCGAGTTCCCGAGCTACTTATCGGAACGAAGATGGTATGCAACAAATCAAATACTACCTGATAGCAGCATTATCATAATCGGAGGTAGAAAACAATTCAACTACGAATTCCTTCCTAAAACAACAACATTTTCTTCTTCCTTGTCTTCAATTCATCTACCTTTTCTTCAAGAAACCAAAGATCCGAGCGAAAACAACTTATATCCTTTCGTTCATCTCCTACCGGACGGAAACCTTTTCGTTTTTGCGAACTCACGATCTATATTACTCGATTACAAAAACAACATGATTGTTAAAGAGTTTCCCGAAATTCCAGGTGGTGATCCTCGTAACTATCCTAGTTCAGGTTCATCAGTTCTTCTTCCTCTAGATGAAAACCAAGCCACCATTGAAGCTACAGTCATGATTTGCGGAGGAGCGCCTCGTGGATCATTCGAAGCTGCCTCAAAGCAAAACACCTTCGTGAAAGCACTTACAACATGTGGATTTCTCAAAGTAACAGACTCAAACCCTAGTTGGGTAATGGAAGATATGCCAATGGAAAGAGTAATGGCAGATATGTTAATTCTACCTAACGGAGATGTTATTATAATCAACGGCGCTGGATTGGGTACTGCCGGTTGGGAAAACGGCCGGCAACCGGTTTTAACACCGGTGATATTCCGTTCATCGGAAACTGAATTATCGAAACGGTATAGTGTAATGTCCCCAGCTTATAGACCTAGGCTTTATCATTCTTCTGCAGTGGTGTTAAAAGATGGAAGAGTTTTAGTTGGTGGTAGTAATCCACATGTAAACTACAATTTCACCGGAGTTGAATTTCCAACTGATTTAAGTTTAGAAGCGTTTTCTCCACCGTATTTGTCGCCGGAGTTTTATCCGATACGGCCAAAGATTCGACATATCACCAACAGTATATTAGGGTATAGGGTTTTTTACTATGTTACATTTACCGTAGGCAACTTTGGTTCCGCGAACGATGTTTCAGTTAGGTTATTGGCGCCGTCGTTTACTACACACTCTTATGGAATGAATCAGAGGATGGTGATTTTGAAGTTGATTGGAGTAACAATGGTGAATTTGGAGACTTATTATGCTACTGTTTTGGGACCTTCTACTCAAGAAATTGCACCACCGGGTTATTATCTTATGTTTTTGGTGCATGAGGGTGTGCCTAGTTTTGGTGAGTGGGTGCAACTCATGTAATGTAGTTGAAGATTGGTTTATTTAGATGGTTGTTGTTAGGTAAGAATGAGTTAGGAGAAATTGTTGGTTAGATAGATGCAAACTATCATGAAGAATGTATTGTTTTGTTTCTTTCTTCAAAATGTAGTATGTTTATTTTGTAGGTAGGTCACCATTATTTGTGTTAAAATTTGAATTCTCCCCAATGATTATTCTTTAATCAAACTTTATTAATTATTTGAGTTTAGTTAGTTGATTAGAAATATTATAATGTCAATCAATCACCATTCTAGATGCTAAATTATCTTGAAAATTTTAAATTAGTTGTATCACATGTTGAATGATAAATCTTTTTTTGAGTAAAAATGGAAAACTATTTTATACTGTCTTTAATCTCTATATTAATTTATAATGATAATTTTAATAAATTTAAATCAAATTTATTAATTAAAATAGTTACAAAAATAATCAAATATTTTTAACTATAAGATGGTTATGATTCGATTATAATGTAAAATATATGAATTAAATTCAAATAAAATTTATGTGTAATAGCGTAATCATATCCTATTATTTGAGTCTGAAAAAGTAAATATATAATTTTTTTAATAATATGTGGATGAATCCAGGATTAACTTATTGAATAGTTTTGTCATGATTTTTGACTCTATTGGTTCTTATTAAAATTGGATATGAGTCGAGTCAAATTTATATCAGCTCAATTTAATTTGATAAGAATTAGTTTAACTCCAAACTAGAAATCGATCTATTTTCTTTTTAAATTTAAACTCGACTCATTTTAAGTTCAGAAACAATTTGATTTAATTCGTTAGGTAAAACTCGCTTTCTCTACAGATTTAAAAGTCATTTTCTAAAGTCTATTATTAAAGTCAATATAACCCTTTATATATATATATATATAATCAATTTGAGTTATGAACCTAACAAATTGAACTATACATAGTCCAAGTTCTTTTTGTTTTATTTTTTCTTTAATTATTATTCGTTCAATTCTTTCATATCCTCCACAAGACAATCAATGTGGATAGATATTTCTTGCTCTGGCCTATTCTCTTTTTCTCTTTGGCACTTAACCAAGAATTTAAGGGTGTTGCAAGACTTGACAAACTTATCCTAAATGTCCTTTCTCAATAAATGTATATAATATTATATGGAGGCTTTAAGTTAGGTTTTGGATGTGTAATATAATCTTTTTTCTTTTCTTTTTTTTTAATAAGTAAAGATTGTTTTATTCAACATGGGATACTAGGGGTATCTCAACCCTCATACACAATAGCTGAGAAAAGAGTAGCAGCGGTTAACGTTAATGTCTAGTTTATAGGAGTTATTTTCTATATTGTTAATAAGTTGCCTAGTCTTTAGCAAGTCCTATTTTTTAGGCTAGTGCAGATTGTGCTCTAATTCTATTATGCAAGGGTTTTATATAACCTACTTCTCAAATGAAATAAAAAAGCTTTTCAGTTTAACATTTGGCATCAGAGCTCAACGATTAAGGCCTGACAGAAAGCTTCAGAAAAGAGTGAAACACTGAGTGAGAGGAATATTGTTACTACGAAAGAGCTGAGATGGCTGAAAGTAGCAGTATCAATGGGAAGTTCGTGCAACCGACAATTCCAAAATTTAATGGGTATTATGAGCACTGGGCAAAATTGATGGAGAATTTCCTTAGTGCAAAGGAATATTGGACCCTAATTGAGAAGGGAATCGACACGATTCTAGAAGGCACTCAATTGACAGAAGCATAAATGAAGGTGATAGAGGAGCAACGATTGAAAGATATGAAGATAAAGAATTATTTGTATCAAGCAATTGATAAAGAAATCTTGGAGAACATACTCAATGATGATACTTCTAAGAAGATCTGGGACTCTATGAAACAAAAGTTCAAGGGTTCCACGAGGGTGAAGAGGGCTCAATTGCAAACATTGAAATCTGAGTTTGAAATACTCAGAATGAAGGAGGGAGAGACTGTTAATGCCTATTTCGGGCGAACTCTTTCCATTGCCAAACGGATGAAAGCGTGTGGAGAAATCGTACAAGAAAGGAATATTACAGGGAAGATTCTCAGATCCGTTGTATCAAAGTTTAATTATGTCGTTTGCTCCATTGAAGAATCCAACAACGTCGACACTCTAACGGTTGATGAACTTCAAAGCAGCTTGTTGATCCATGAGCAGAGAATGAAGACTGTTGACGAAGAAGAACAAGTATTGTTGAAGGTGACTCGTGAAGGGAGATCAACAAGAGAGAGAGGCAGAAGAAGAGGAGAAATTAGAGGAGGTCGAGGAAGAGGGAGAACATATCTAAACAAAGCTAATGTGGAATATTATCGATGTCACAATTTTGGTCATTTCCAATATGAATGTCCTACCTTGGAAAAACATTCAAATTACGCAGAACTAGATGAGAAGGAGGAGATGTTGTTAATATCATATGTAGATGAAATTGGAGCAAAGTGAGAAGACATTTTGTTCTTGGATTCAGGCTGTAGTAATCACATGTGTGGTAACAAAGCTCTATTCTATGAGTTTGGAAGTGTTTCTCAACAAACTGTGAAGCTGGGCAACGATACCAGAATGCAAGTTTCTGGCAAAGGAAGCATCAAAATGGAGGTTGATGATGTTAATTTCACTGTCGGTGATGTCTTTTATGTTCCTGAACTCAAAAATAATCTTCTAAGCATTGGGCAAGTGAGGACCTCACACACCTCTGGCACTGCAGATTGGGACATATCAGCAACACAAATCTCCAAAATTTGCAGAGAAAACAAATGGTGCATGGCTTACCTAAATTGACAATCTCAGATGAAGTCTGTGTAGTCTGTTTGAAAGGAAAGCAACACAGGGAGCCTATTCCAAAAAGAAGCACATGGAGAGCAACACAAAGGTTAGAACTTATTCACGCTGATTTGTGTGGTCCGATTTCACATATTTCTAACAGTGAAAGAAAATATGTGCTATGCTTGATTGATGATTATAGCCGGAAAGTTTGGTCGTATATTTTGCATGCAAAGTCAGATACATTTGCTGCATTCAAAATATTTAAGACGTTTGTTGAGAAAGAAACAGGTCTTTCTATCAAATGCCTACGAACAGATCGAGGGGGAGAATTCACCTCTATTGAGTTCAACGATTTATGTCAAGAAAATGGAATTAAAAGACAATTGACGACGTCATACACTCCTTAGCAAAACGGAGTTGCGGAAAGGAAAAATCGTACCGTGATGAACTGTGTAAGGAGCATGTTTTCTGAAAAAGGTATTCCAAAACCTTTTTGGCCTGAAGCAGTGAAGTGGGCAGTTTACGTGCTAAATCGATGCCTCACCGTAGCCTTAAAAGATACAACCTCAGAAGAAGTTTGGAGCGGAGCAAAGCCATCAGTTGAACATCTCAGGGTCTTTGGGTGTGTGTGTCACATACAGGAAATGCGAATTCATAAAGGTAAACATGGAATGCAAGTGAGGGAGGAAATCATCTCAACATAAAGCCCATAATGAATGGAAAATGGCCTATTTTAGACATACAATCTTGGCCACAAGTGATTATAAAGTGATACGAGGCAATAAAACCTACGAATGACATACGTATACTACGATTATGAATCATAACGCATTATAATGGAAATATGGAACCTAATGGGCAATTATGTATGATAAAACCAGCCAATCAATGATCTACACATCCTATATAATGTCTATAATAAGCAATAGGAACCCTAGCATTCACCACACAAAAAAATCGAGGCCGTTGGAGCCAAAATAAAACTGAAGTCCGTTCGAATGTCCATATTACAAGTCCGAATACAAAAATATAAGAAAAATAGCAAAAGGTGCTAAAAAATTCAAATCAAAATCTCCAATACCCTACATCAAGTCACAAACCAGGGGTTATTATGGCTATGAGATCTGACCGAGGAGGCGAGTTTACTTCAAATGAGTTCAACAAATATTGTGAAGAGCATGGGATCCGCCGCTTACTAACAGTGCCAAGATCGCCACAACAAAATGGAGTAGTGGAGAGAAAGAATCGGACCATACTTAATATGGTGCGAAACATGCTTAAGAGTAAGAAGATGCCGAAAGAGTTTTGGGCCGAAGCAGTGGCATGTGCGGTTTACCTGACAAACCGTTCCCTAACAAGTTAATGAATGATGTAAACTCCTCACATTCCGATACAGAAGCACGAAACAGGAGGCCACCTACCTGGATGAACGATTATGTGAGCGGAGAAGGTTTTTCAGATGATGAAATTAATTTTGTGGTAGGTACAAATTCAGACCCTGATAATTTTGAAGAAGTTGTGAAAAGTGAACATTGGAAGAAAGCTATGGAGGTTGAAATCAAGAGCATAGAAAAGAACAATACATGGTTTCTCATTGATTTACCAAAAGGTGCAAAGCAGATTGGAGTAAAATGAGTTTTCAAAACGAAACTGAACGAGCATGGTGAGGTGGAGAAATTTAAAGCCCGATTGGTCGCCAAAGGATATGTGCAGCGATATGGAGTTGATTATGCTGAAGTCTTCGCATCGGTGGCTCGAATGGACACTGTCAGAATTATTCTTGCACTAGCTGCTCAAAAGGAATGGAAGGTATATCAACTTGACGTCAAATCTGCATTTTTACACGGCGAGTTAATGAATGATGTCTATGTAGAGCAGCCCCTTGGTTTTGTGAAGGAAGATGAACCTCATAAAGTGTACAAGCTCAGAAAAGCTCTCTATGGACTCAAACAAATTCCTCGAGCTTGGTTTAGTCGCATCGAATCATATTTCTTAAGGGAGGGATTTGAGAAGTGTTCTAGCAAACAGACTTTGTTCGTTAAAACCAGCATTTAAGGTAAACTTTTGATAGTAAGTTTATATGTTGATGATTTAATATATACCGGGAATGACGAATCAATGATGGGGGAGTTTAAGAAATCAATGATGAAGGAGTTCGATATGTCGGACTTAGGAAAGATGTGGTATTTCCTTGGTATTGAGGTGCAACAATTGAAAAAT